TATGGGTTGTTACCCAAAGAAAAACCACTTTTACCCAATTTTGGGTAATTTATCAAGGTTTGGAAAGCACTAATCTATCAATTCAGGATGTAGGAAAAAAAAGGATTTGCAGTTATTATTGTTCATTATGAACTAAAATTTGCACTTGCTCACTGACATACACATACCCCCATACATATTTCACCAGTTTATAGTTTATCTGACCAGACTAGGTTTGAGTTCCAAAATCCTTAATTGCTTGCAATGACTCTGAAGCATTATAGTTTGCACGTTTATAACTTCTCACAAGGCATGGCCAATTGTAGCCTAGTACTCTTATTATGCTCCCTGGCACTTTTGCAGTTGAGTATCATTTTCTCATCTAGCTCATAATCTCTTGTTCTGAGAACTTTGTGTTTCAGAACCTTCTTTTGTTGTGTCTTTGTAGTCATCTTCATTCTGATATTTTTTTAATGTGCTGCATATAATGAAATATTTCAAAACAGAACTTTTTGCCTCTATGACATACTTTGAGTGAGTCTCACATTCTCCATTTTTCATACTTTGACCACCAGGAGGCACCATGGTTTCATCCTTATGGAGAGCTATCAAATATGGGCAGCCAGCTATTATTCTGTGGGTTTCAAACCTAGTAAGAATTGAACTTATAGACCTTGACACTTAGATTACTATATACAGTGTATTAGCTTTAGGAACTATTTAGAAGCACTCAGTGGTTTGCAGGAAGGGATATATAGAAGCTGTCAGAATGGTATATACAGTCCACCTTCTCCTAAACTCTCAGAGAAGAGAGAGAGATTACAGTGTCATGTGGTGAACGGCATGTAAAAAAAGTATACATGGTGAAGTGGAGGAAATTGACATCAGTCTTTTGTCATGGTCTGATCATTTCCTGGTCAACATCAAAATGGCTAGTCAATACCAAAAATACCATGTCCATGGGTGGGGGAGGTCCAATTAAGTTGACTCACTTCAAATGCCTTATCAGTTCATTTGTTTCCAGCAAGTTTTTAGATATTTTCCCAGCAATGTGGTAGGCAGCTTGGCCACATCTCAGAAATTCTATTTCTGGAATTCTGAGATTGATGAATTCCAGAATTCAGCCATCTCTGAATTCCAGAATTCCAGAAAATGACAAAGATTGCTCCTAGGTGACCTCTTTTGCTCTCAGATTCAGTGGTGATCCCTGGTTTACCAAGAAGCTCTGGGAGATGAAGCAGCCAAAACAATACCTAGAGTGATGGTGGAGAAAGGCAAGAATAGAACAGAACAGAACTAACCATAGATTTCCATATGTTAGGACCCATGCTATGCTAAAGGCAATGAAGCATCAGCATTTCTCTGCCGTTGCATGAGTAGAATGGCATCCAATAACCTTATTAAAGGTGACCTTTTTAAGAGGAATTGTTTACAAATTGGTCATATTAGTTCATCTCTTGACTTCACTTTGGCAGAACCTGTAGAAATAACTTGGGCAAGATCTTGAGCAGTGATCTGGGATTTATTTCAGCTTGTGGACTCTAATATTGTAGACAGGGTCCCCTGCTGCATGACTGGCCACCTGGCTCCTTCAGGCAGTAAGAACTGGGGGTGAGCTGCTGGATTCCTCATATAGTCCCATCACTGGTTATTTGGCTTCCACAATCCTGCCTGCAACTAAAATGTGAAACCAATAACCATGAAGTTAACTGCCAAGTTTCAGAGCGTTATTTTATTTAATATTATTTGAAAACTGAAAAGTGTTTTGAAGATGTCAGATTTCTTTGTTTTTCCTTTTTGTTTAGAAAAACAGCTTCAGAATGAAGGACTGCTATTCAACAAAGAAACTGTACAGCACCTTGAAGATGCTGTCAAAGCTATTAAAAAATTGGTAATATCAAAATCTAAAAAAGTAGTGCCTTTAGACACATAAGTAGTAGAAAGTTTTTGTTGACAAAATTTGGGCTAGACTAAATTGACTTCTGTTGGATCTATGGATGAATATTTGGGTACTAGTTATTCAGGGTTGCTGTATACCCAGGGTTACCCTACAGAAAAGATCTATGCTTGGAGAATGTTAGGCTTCAAAAAAACCTGCACACAATATATCTTACAACTCATCCTCTCTCCCATCCCCTCTGCTCAACTTGCTTTTCCAGACCGTGCTGGATTCAAACCTGGTTTCAAAATCCTGCTGTTCTATTAAACTTGCTGAGAATATTTAGTCATGCCATTATCTTCCACAGTCTGGGGAGAAAAAAATGAATATTTGGTAGACTCATAACCTATTTTTGACACTTGTTCTCAAGGCAGCATACCAGTGATATAAATTACCAATAAATCTATAGTAATAAAAATGACATACCAAATCATATTAAAATAAGATGTTGACATTAGAATAGTATTTTAGTTATAAAATTAATCTCAGTGTAAACATCTTGACAATTTAGTTAAAAGAACCGATACCCTGGATATTTCACCCAGTACTCTATATAATTGGCAACTTGGCAGTGATCCTCAATTTGATAGGTGATGGCATTAGAAGAGGGGTTTGGCTCTTAAACCTTGATAAGTAGAAGGAACAGTGAAGAAAATGTTTCCGTGAGAATGAATCAAGGTTACTCAGAGCTTGCCAAACAAACACTTTGAGCATCTGGAAACAAATTTGATATGTAATTGTTTTAATTTCCCTCAAATAAAGTATAGTGCAATACAGAGTTTTCCTAGAAACAGTATGGTACTGCTGTACTACCATTAATCTTGTTTTAGGATATGAAAAGAAAGGAGTTTTCAACGTGCAATAGTTGTATGTATCTGTTGCTGATGAATAGCTTTTATTTGGTGGCATGTATATTATCCAACAGCATAACAAAGGTCTTGCAAAAAATGTTCCGCTCTTTCAATGAGAAATTCTTTACTTCCTCTTTGATAATGTCTTACTGATACTTTGCTTTGAATGACCAAGTGTTGTTGCAGTAGATGAACAGGCTTTCTTCTCTCTCTTCTTTCCTTTGACTATAGTATGTTGAACAATACATTTCTCATGGGAAAGGGCAACTTTTTATTTTCTCTTCACTACTCATCCAATATAATTTTTGCTGTTTAGTGGAAAGCTAGTGAAACATTGAAGCATACTGTAAAAATATTCAATGGGATGATGTATAATATGGCTTTTAGAATGTGGGCAAAATATTTCTCACTAACATTGGAACATTTGAAAAATCAGGTATTAGTAACTTTGTACTTAAAATTTAGCTGGTATGGCACTATATGAGCATAAATTAACTGCAGCTATTGATGTGAGCACAGATATATACAAAAACAAGTACCATCATGGGCTTTATTTTTTTTGTGTGTAGAATTAACTCCATCTTATACTTCCCAGTAGTGCTTCTAGGCAAGGCATTTATTTTGTAATTGCCTTGTCCCATTCACTTAAATTTATTAGAGATCTAGACAGTGATTTTTTTGTATACACTTTATCTGCAAGAAAAAAAATCTATACCTTAATTTAGTAAGGATATGGCCCATCACATTTCTTTCCTTTGATCATGTATCTGTCAATTTCTAGGAAGAGGAAAGAAAACTTATAATTGAACTGTTGGAAGAAGAGACCATAAAAAACTGTAATCTCCGTATCAGAATCAAGGGATTCCCAGCAATTGTTATGAAAGAATTTGAAGGTATTTCTAAGTTAATTCATTTCATCTTAGAGTGAAATGTATTGGAGAATATAATATATAATAAATTTACTAATCACAATCATTTATTTTAAGGAGAACTATGCAGCTTTACATAACTTATTTTAACTGCAGAATCTGGATTTGGATCACAGAAATTGAGATATAATTTTTATGTCTAAAAAGAGGAAACTAAGAAACACTCAACAATATATAAATTTCACTTAGTATAGTCTTATTATTTACACTTGATTTAGAAAAAAATTGTAAAATCAATTCATATTTGGGCTTTACATACTGCAGAACTGCTTATTTCTAGATCCCCACTAACGTATCACCAAGTGAAAACTGATCTGTTGCAAAAAAGGATTAAGTTTTAATAACCTATTGTTCATGACAGCAGCTTCTTTCAAACTCTTATTAATGATCTGAAAGGATGAGTCCTATAGAAGACTAGAGAGGGTTTGTGATGGAGAGTTGAGTGTGAATTATGTTGCCTGGCCTTAATGCATTTAAATATGTATTTATGTATTTATTTATTCAATTTATATGGCCGCCCATCTCAAATAAGTGACTCTGTGTAGTGAACAATTATAAAATCAGTTAAAATTAAATTACAAACACAGTACAAAAAATTAAATATATACAGCAGCTGAGAAAATTATAATCGATATTATATTTTATTATTAAAATAACCAGGAAACAGTTCCCTGAACACACTCAGGACCCTAGGCCTGGGCGCATAACCAGGTCTTCAAGGCCTTACGAAAGGCCAACAGGGTTGGGACCATTCTAACCTCTGGAGGGAGAATGTTCCAGAGGACAGACGCTATGGCAGAAAAGGCCCGCTTCCAAGTCCCTGCCAAACAACATTCCTTGGCTGACGGGACCCAGGGCATGCCCATCCTGCTAGACTGGATTGGACGGGTAGAAACAACTGGGCAAAGGTGATCCCTCAGGTAACCCAGTCCCAAGCCATGAACGGCTTTAAAGGTGACAACCAGCACCTTGAATGGCACCCAGAAACACACTGGCAACCAGTGCAGCTCACGAAGCAGTGGTGTTACATGTGCCGAATACCTGACACCATTTACTACTCATGCAGCTGCATTCTGCACCAATTGAAGCTTCTGAATGCTCTTCAAGGGCAGCGCCATGTAGAACACATTGAATTAATCCAGATGGGAGGTCATGAGTGACAGTGAGCAGAGCCTCCCAGTCCAGGAATGGGCACAACTGGTACACAACCAGTTTGTGGTGTGCAAAGGTCACAGCCAGGGCTACCACCTGCTCTTCCAGCAGGAGCCATGAGTCCAAGAGGACCCCCAGATTGTGCATCAGATCTGTCTAGGGCAGTGCCACCCCATCCAAGAATAATGGTGGAAAAACCTTGACACCGGAAGACCCAAGTACCCAAAGCCATTCAGTCTTGCTTGGGTTAAGCTGAAGCCCATTGATCCCATCCAGGCTCCTACAGCCTCCAGACACTGGGACAGGACATCCAGCACTCTGGGGTAGAGATATAAAGCTGGGTATCATCAGCATACAGATGATGCCTCACCCCAAACTATCAGATCACCTCACCCTCATGTACATGTTAAATAAGAGGGGAGAGAGGAAAAGGGAAAGTTGGAGACAGGATGAAAACTGTCCAGATTAATTGGGTTGAGTGATGGCCCCTTGAGGCGACATACCACTGCTTCCTTAAGAGCTGGCAGGACCACCCCCTCCCTCAAGGAAGAATTAACTACCACCCAGACTCAATCACACATCCTCTCCCAGGCAGCCTTAACCAGTCAGGAGGGGCACAGATCTAACACAGAAGTGGCCCAACTAACAACTATGAGAATCCTGTCCGCTTCCTCAGGTTCAAAGGGGTCGAACTCCTTCCAGATAACTATGCAAGACTCAGCCCCCATAACCTCCACTGGCCCTGCCCCAAGGCTGGAGTCCAATGCAGAGTAAATCTGAGCAATTTTATCTGCTAGATGCACAGCATATTCCTCATAGCGACCCTGTAAGTGGATCCTAGAATTACTCACTCCAAGGAGGATCCAGGTCACTCGAAACAGGGGTGCTGGATGGTTATCTGCGGATGCAATAAGAGTACAGAAATATGTTTTTCCACCCTTACTACCACAAGGTAGGCTCTAAGAGCGGCTCTAGGTCATGTTTGACTGTTTTCACTCTTTGTTGTTCACCAGCAGCGCTCTAGGTATTTCTTTGACCTCTTAAACTCCCTTAGCTTGCCTGTAAACCATGGAGTGTTCCAGGATCCATGGGTGTGGAGAGGCTGCTCAGGCACAATCCAGTCCAAAGCCGCAGCCGTTCTTCCATTCCCGGCAGCCACCAAGGCTTCATCCAGATGGTGTAGCAGACCTTCCAGAACAACCCCAAGCTCCCTTTGGAACCCAGTCAGGTCCATCCATCATCTGGGAAGGGCCAGTCTAATAGGCCCAGCTTCCCTGTAGATATTATCAAATATCCCTGCAGATATCAAATATTTGATAATACTATCAAATATCAAGATTTTCCAAGTATTGTGCTATCCAAAAAGGAGGAGTGTAACTATGGATCCTTGTTTGCTTGTTTGCTTCAACCTTGGGCTGAAGAGGTGGTAGAATAAGCAGAAGGTAAATATGAAAAAATAACTTCATTTGCTTTACAAGAGAATAAACAAATTCATGGAATTTATTTATTTATTTAATATGTCACATTTATATAGCCACCCATCTCACACAAAGCGACTCTTCACCATATTGTATCTATTTGGAGCCCCATATTTGGAGTTAACAGACCATTCAGTATCATCTGGCAAATAGTAAAAGAGGATTACTGTTTTTATACTCCAACTCTGAATTTCCATGTGCTTGTTTCTGTGGAAACTGAGTTATGCAATATAACAGACTTATATCTAGGACAGTGATTGCGAACCTATGACACGTGTGTCAAAGGTAACACACCACGACATTTTGGGTGACATGCCAGCGTTCACCAATACCCGACACCTATTCTCCCTGTTTGAGTTACCGAAGAAACTGAGTTTGTTTTACTCGTATTTAATTTTTGTAATTATTTGACATTTCTTTGTATAATACATAACTCCACACATGATTGGACTGTATTTTTTTTAAATAAATGAATATGTAAAGAATTGTTTCTCTTTTGTTTGGGGCAGTGGGTGATAGATTGGACTGTATTTTTTTTAAATAAATGAATATGTAAAGAATTGTTTCTCTTTTGTTTGGGGCAGTGGGTGATAGATTGGACTGTATTTTTTTTAAATAAATGAATATGTAAAGAATTGTTTCTCTTTTGTTTGGGGCAGTGGGTGATATGCCAGCAGAGTCAAGTTAGGCATTTTCTGAATCTTTGATACACTGAGCCCAAAAGGTTTGCCATCATTGATCTAAGATGAAGTCTCAAGGATTGATCCAAGTATCACTTCAATGTGGTTAGCCTTTAAAGAGTCAGTGCTTTACCTGGGCCTTGTTTTCCTACAACTTCTGTAATTTCTAGATGATTCTTTTGGCACTTCAGTTACTTCAGAGATCTAGTAACTTACAGAAACGTTGAAGAGGGGATTTTAATATATATATTTTTTAGCATATCTGTCTTTCTGTCTTAAAATTCCTTATTTTAGAACTTGTGGCTGCTGCTCATCGATTTCATCTTAGCAAGTTAAGTGAAGTAGAAGCTTCTATGAATGAAACTATTGGTGCAGTACAACAGGTGTATGCAAAGCAGATGCTGTCTGAAGAACAAAACGAAACACTGTGGTAGGCGCTATTTGTTCAGTAAAAATGAGCAATTGCAAATAGTGAATTGTAATGTTCAATCCCTTACCCTAAAGACCATGTATTCTGTACTATTATTTTAACTACCCAAAAGAGCTTGTACAACATGAATATAGCATGAAACTGTTGTTCAGTATGATTGAAAAGAATTCAAGCCATGTATGATTATAGAATGTTGGTGTCTTAGTTTAAGAATGATAGCCTAGTCCTCTATAAAATGAAAAATTAGACTATATATTTCTTTTACCTGCTGCATCCAGCGAACAGTTGAGTGGAGATCTTAGCTGCCACCTGCCCTAAATTATTGGAATGAACATTTTTTAGGAAGATTTCACTTACTAGAGATAAATATTGCATTATTTGGCAGTGACTTATTTTCATATAAGTGATAATGGCATAGTTTGCTCACTGAGATGCTGATAACGGTGAGAGCAAATTTAGGGAAAGCAAATTTAGCATTGTATCTTTTTGGTGTTGGATCCAGGGCTAACTACAAAGTGTGGCAGTCTGCAGTGGAACCAAATTACATGCTCAGAACACAGCCCTCTACAAAGAGCAACCCTAGGGTTATAAGAGAGAGTGTATGTATGTGTTTGTATATCACAGCCACACACATACACACACACATACAAACTAGGACTGCACAGCATTTTGAAGTACTAGTGGATATCCCATCTTTTCCCAGGATTGTGTGGCAGCATCAAAAAGCAGCCATGTGACTCCAGGAAAAGATGCAACTGCTTCAAAGTGTTTCTGACAGGTGCTAGATCTGGCTATCTATGTAGTTCTGAATGGTTTTCAATAATTAGAAATAGAACAGCCAGGTAAACTGAAATACGGCAAGCGATAAGTGATTATATGTTAAAATGGTTGATGAACAAAAATGTTTTATTTTAGTTCCTTAAAGTTAATCACCATCAGGCAGACATCTATGGGTAATCTCCATAAGTAAATGACAACAAAATAAGAAATTCTGTGGTACCATAAACAGTAATCCATTTATGACTGCAAAATCTCTCTTTTTTTCTGCAAACGACTGCCATGGCTGCTACATCTTTAAATGCCTTTTTTTTTTTTTAATGACAAGGCAGCTAACATAATTAATGAAGTGGAGTTATATAGAATTAAGTGCCTCACCAGAAAATTACTGGCTATGCTGCCTGACTTGCCATCATTTCCATTTGCCCTTATTCTTGGATCAGTGCAATTTTCTTTAGACTTATTGAAATGCATAGAGCTGGTAAGGAACTTACAGTGTATATGCATGTTGTGAGGTGGGATTTTAGTTGGAGGAATTTAGCAAACTGAACCAAATTCTGCTTCATATGCAAAAGGAGAGATGAGCTTTACAAGCCCTGAAATTTTCTCTTATAACTAGAATAATAGTGTCTCCATCCAAATACAGAAGCTGATATCTTTCTAAATACAGCCTGTCCTTATTTAGATTGGACAACCTTGAGAGTACTAAATACAGTTTAAGCTTCATTATCTCTGTGTGCAAATCAGATTTCAAAGGATGATGACCAATAGGCTCTCATGTAACTGAAAGCTTCAAATATTAGTTTCAGTGTTTAGAGATTCTGTTCAAAAACTCTATGCATTTGAGAGACAGTAACATAATGTATTGCCTAATCTTATTTTTGCTAAATTTAATTACGATAGGAAGTATTTGTAAACCACTGTTGGGAAAAATTATTTTTAACATTAGTGACATTACTCAGTTGCATAGCATAATGTAAAGTTGTAACCCTTGGCAATGGGTTTGAAACCAGTGTACGGTCTAGAAACTGCATTGGTTGCATTTGTGGATGACCTTTGGAGAGACCAGGATCAGAGGAGTGCAACCTTCCTGGTCCTTCCTGATCTCTCAGTAGCTTTCAGTACCATTTACCATGGTATCCTTCTGGACTGCCTTGGCACGAATAGAGTGCAGGGCACAGTTTTGTAGTGGTGCTACTCCTTCCTGAGGGGGTAATTTCAGTTTTGTGGTGGTGGTGGTGGGGAATCTGTCCAAGCCCTTTAGTTTGTATAGTGTCTTAGGGCTCTCTACTCTCTCCACCTCTTTTTAAGATCTACATGAAACTGCTGGGGGAGGTTATCCATCAGCATAGGATCCGGTATCATCAAGATACCAGATGATGGTACATAGCTATATGTCTCAGCCCTGGACCAAACAGGTGATTCAGTAGAAGGCTGACCCAGTACCTAGAAGCTGTCAGGATCTAGATGGGAAGGAACAGACTCAGAATGAATTCCTGCAAGACAAAGTGATTTGGGGTTTATGATTCCAAGAAATACTATCTTTGACTATGAATGGAATTGTATTCCCATGTTCAGAAGTGGTTTGTAGTTTGGGGGTCCTCCTGGATTCACAGCTCCTGCTCAATCAACAGGCAGTACCTGTGGCCAGGAGGATTTTGTACAATTATACAATGGCCTGTTTGCAGTCAGTCATGTCTTAAACACCTCTTACTTGGATTACTATAATGTGTTCCACATGGGGCTGTCCTTGGAAAGCATTTGGAAGGTACAGCTGGTACAAAGTGTGGCAGTTTGAACAATGATGAGTATCCCAATACAGTATACTCAAGTCTACTGCTTTGGGAGCTGCATTGGTTGCCACTTGGCTTCCAGATGCTTGTTATCACCTTGAAGGCCCTACATGGGTCTGGACCAGATTATCTGAGGGAGTGCCTTCTCCATATTAATTTGCTCAATGGATCAAATCGAATAGGGTGAACACCCTCCAATTACTACCCTCATTTTTTGGAATTCTGTCCCCATGGAGATCCAATCTACTCCTTCCCTCCTGAGTTTCAGAAGAGCAATTGAGACTTGATTGTTCCATCTAGCGCAGGAGGAGGGCATGTTGTGAATGAAGGTTGGAATCTGAAGAGCACATAAGTTTGTATGTTTTCTGTATATTATTTTGATATTGCCAATTTTGTTTATATGGTAGGTTTATATTTGATGATGGCAATTTTGTTCACATCATGAGTGAGTTTATTATTTTTGAAGGGAGTACTTTTTTATTTTATGCTGACCTTGATTGTTAGCTGTCCAGGGCTGGTATACAATTAAAAAGATAGACAGACAGACAGACAGACAGACAGGGCTTGTGTTGTTTGCTGTCAGTTTTAGGATTTCTTTACAATTTTCTTTTGACAGTCAGGAGCAAGGTCAGATATGGGAGAAATACGATGAAGTTGTCCAACTAGTAAACCAGCAAATGGATGCAAAACATTCTGTCAACATTAAAATTAATGAATTTCATAACCTGACAAAAAAAGAGGAGGAAGAAACTGTTGCGGAAGAGATTGCCATTGAAGAACTACAGAAACTAATGGCTAGCGAAGCCCTTCAGTTTAAAGAAAAGAAAGCATTGTTAAAGTTGCAGGTACATTTTCCGGAATTGAACTATAGCACTGCATTAGTGAAAGTGTCAGACTTGGGGCCATCCAGCACTCTTCTTTCCAGTGGGTCCCCAGAAAAGTCCTCTGTGGATTAGATTAGCTACCAATACAATGCAGTATATTGGAATTGAATATGAGGCCTTATACGTGAAAAGCATCTGCTCAGTCATGGGACTGCAAAACATTTCTGCTCATTACAATTTAGGGATTCTTCTCTCTTAAATCTAGGCTGCCTCTATATAATTTGTTAAGACATATCCATGAACGTACATCCAAGCAACACTGGTGAATTTATGCTTAGTTCTTTTTAAGTTCTTTCAGTGCTCCATGGGAATGCATAGAGTGAATAATTGAGAAATTAAGAAGAGACAGATCTGGGCTCTCTATAAGCAATTTTATAATGCTACTATTAGATCATTTTATCAGGTTTCTGTTATGCCAGTATATGCGTGTCTGTCTTGGCAGATGGCAACACTTAGCCAAGTTTGTCTGGGTTTGGAAACTAAGCAAACCACTTCTGTATTACTACTAAGAAAACTACATGAGTATGGCTATTAAGTCATCAGGTGCTGAGTTTAATATGTAGGCCACTTTATACTTTGTATATATGTACTCCTTTAAATCAATTAATGCCAATTTCCCCATCTTGTCTCGGTTCTGATTTATCATTATTTCTTACAGGGATTTTAAATGAAAATCATGGAGAAGCACGAGGCTGGGTAATCTCTAGGATCTCTGATTAGACTGTTAAATTATTAAAATAAAAAACATTTTTGTGAGAAAGAAAGGGAAGAGGGAAGGAATGTTAGGTCAATCTTATTCATAATTGATTTGTAGACTAGATATTTTTGTGACAACTTTTGAGGGGTGAGTATCTTAATTAGATTCCAAGAAGTTTCCTTTTCTTAAACTGTCTGGAAAAGGGACCCCGTGTAAAAACAAGGTTTGGCATTTTTATCTTTTACTACCCAATATTCAGTATCATCAGAGACCAAAAAGTTGCTTATGTTATTCTCAGATACTGTGCTAATAGAAATATAAGTAAGGATGTCACAGAGATATTTAAGAGTCAAAAAGAATGTTATTAAAGAGTCAAAAAGAATGTTATTAAAACAAAAGTTTAAAAGAGTGTGAGATCAGTTAATATCAATACTAAGTTAGGTGTCTTGGCTAACCTGCTGGGCTGGAAACTAGAGGACAGTGAGTTCTTTTCTTCCTCCAGGCATGAAAAACAGCTGGGTAACTTTGGGCCAGTCACTCTCTTTCAGCCCAACCTACCTCACAGGGTTGTTCTTGTGGGGAAAATAGGAGGCAGGTGCATTAGGTTACTACACTGCCTTGAGTTGACTAAAAATAGGTGGGATAAAAATCTAACAATAAAAATAAAATACTAGTAACATCAGCTTGCTTCAAACAATTCCGTAGTTTATGTTAAGAAACAACATTAAAAAACCATTCAAGGTTGTAAAAGATGCTAGCAATTAAAAAAATGATAAAGTAATATAAATGTTTAGAGTTTTACATCCTAAATATAATTGGTAGTTGAAAATAATGAATCATCCCAAAGGAAACATTTTTCTGAAATCCTCCAATAATTTAATTGGAGAAGGTGTTTCTGTTGAGAAAACATACACCTTACCTTAAGTGATGGTAGTTAGTATTAGAACAAATGTACATTGGAAAGAGTGTGGCTTTTTAAAATTAATTCATTTAAACCATCACATGATTGGTAGCACAACATAAAAAGAGCCAACTTGACTGTAATGTCACTAGTTAGCATTCAGAAAATCCAAAAATTAACATTTTGAAAAATATGCACGTATAGAATCTGAGATCATAAAATCTTGTGAAATTTCAGTTTTCTTCTGTGAGGACACACATTTTCAGAATTATTCTGTAAAATTACATCACATTTTGGGGTGAGTTGGCTGATATTTCATGAGATTCAGTCCTACGTATTTATTTATTTTGTATCATCGCACAAGATCATGAAATGCTGCCTAGCACTTGTAAAGCTTGATGACCCCAATGATGGATTAACAATAGATGTTCAGAATAGCATCTTACAAAGTGAGACACCCAACAATTGAGTGGAAGCAGCAACAGAGATGGGGAAATACAGGTTTCCATAGAAAGTGCTGAATAATATACAAATAATAATTTTAGCTATATTAAAGTTGTTTTTGACTGTAGATTGAAGAACTTCAGAAAAAACTTAAGATGAAGAAATATGAGGTTGCAGAAAAGGAGAAGGAGTTTGGAGATCTGCTTAAAGTGCTACATAGTCTACAGGAGGAAGTTGCACGATATAATCAGGTAAGTTAAATTATCCCATTGGTAATGTGCCTTTTAAAACTCATATCTACTGGTAATGTCTTTTTCCACCACTGAATAAATTGGGACTATATAGGTACAACCCCTGGCCATGGATGCCACTTGCTCTTTGAACAGGAGCCATGAGTCCAGGAGGACCCCCAAATTCCACATCAGTTCAGTCTGGGGTATTGGAATGGGATGGAAAATCACCAGATTTAGGAGGCCCTTACACCAAAGCCACTCCGTCTTGCTAGGGTTTTGCTGAAACCTGTTTATCCCCATCCAGACCCGCTTCCAGGCCCTGAGACAGAACCTCCACAGTATCACTTGCCTGGCCTGGGGTGGAGATATACAACTGAGATAATACTTCATCCTGTGCTGTTGAATGACCTTATCCAGTGGTTTCATGTAGATGTTCAACAGGAGTGGTGAGAAAGTCAAGCCCTGAGGCACCCCACATAAGTGCCACCGGGCAGACCTCTCCACCCTCAACACCAATTGGAATCAAGCCTCTAAGAGAGTTCTCCTCCCCCCCCCATTAGTTTCTCTTGTATGCTTCTATTTCTTTCTTTTGCCGTACTGCTTTTGCTGCAAAGATAATTCCTTCCTCTTTCATCAAGCCATTCTACTATCAAAACTATATATTTTCCTGCTTTATTATTTGATACTGAGCCAGAATTTCCCAGTTTGCATGTGATATATAACTCTGGATTAGTTCAAGCCAGGTCTTCATACCAAAGCTGGCATATGATGAGAGGAGTATTGGAAGGTTGTTTGATCCCAGACTCACTATCAGCTTCATAAAGCCATGATTTGACACTTCATGCAAATTACAGGTAGTCCTTGGGTTACAACCACTCGTTCAGTGACCAAAGTTATGATGGCACTGAACAAGTGGAATTTACAACTCTGGAGCGCCTGCCTGTGATGCCCACCCACACACCTGCCAGCTGCTTTCCTGGGACTCCCGCCTTTTCCCACTTAATGACCCATGCAGGCAGCCGGCATTGCTATCACTAAGTGATGTGATCACATGACATTGCTCTTTACGACCACATTGCTTAGCAACGGAAATTCCAGTCTCAATTGTTGTTGTAACCCAAGGACTACCTGTATTTCAGTCCTTTAATATTTTAATATGATTAGTATGAGCTTTTACTAATTACCAGTATCGGTATAAAATGAGCTTTTTATACAGATATAATTTATACTGTTATTTTATTTATACTTTTCATAGATGGTTACTGATTTGAGAGAGGAGTTAAAACAAATGTTAACATCCATCAAAGAACTAATAAAAGAGTTTGAGAAGAAAAAGGCTGAGAAAGAGGAGATTATGAAAAAAAAGTAAGCAAGATGTACTTCTCTGTTGTATTTGTACTTGATTTTTTATCTCTTTTGGTGCTAAAAATGTTTATCTTGTAGAAATCTGATTGGATTCTAAAGGACATAAAACTCTGTAACAAATACTGATTAGGACTACATTTACGCTCAAATTAAGTCATTATTAGTTTAATTTGATGCAACATGTCAACTCAGCAATTGTGTTTTATAAAACATGGCTTATTGTATATGAACTGGGACACAATGATTTGTTCAACAAACCAGGTTTAAGACATACTATGGTATAGTACAATGTACAAAACCTGTTGGTGAAAAGGCTTTCCACCCTTTTCTTACTGTGGGACCTTTTAAACTGGAGATGCCAATATAAATTCTCCCTCTGTACTACCCTAGAGCCTCTCCTAAAAGCTCGAGCTCCTATGCAGTTGGATTTTCCTATGAACATCAAAGTAAGTCAGTAAAACTAGACACATGAGTGCCATTCAACTTTGTTTTGATTTTGAAAAGCTATCAAATACACATCTATCTTCATAATGCAGTACATAATAACTAATGTATATGGAGCTTTTCTAATTTGATAGGAGGAAAGAAGAACTACTCTACCTGTGCAGAGGATTGATTTCTAGGTTTTTCTTTTTACATACAGGTAGTCCTCACAGTAATTGAGACCAGGAACTCCATAGCTAAGCGATGCAGTTATAAGATGCGACATCACATGACCACACTGACTTACAACAGCAAATCTGGCAGTCCCAGTCGCCATCATTAGGTGAATCCCGCATGGTTGCAGTGTCCCACAGTCATGTGATTGCAATTTGTGACCTCCTGCCAGCTTTCCCATTGACTTGACTTGTTGAAAGCCGGTAGTGAAGGTCACAAATGGTGATCACATGACCATGGGATGCTGCGATGTTGTAATTACAAGCCAGTTGCCAAGTGCCCGAATAGTGATCATTTGACCATGGGGACACTGTGATGGCTACAACAACAAAGACCTGTCATAAGTCCCCCCCATTTAGTACTGTTGTAACATTGAATGGTTGCTGAACAAGTGGATGTTAAACGAGGACTACCTGTACATAATAGTGTTAGAATTTGCTGGATTAGATCAGTATCTTTTTGACAAATATTTCATGACATGCTGTTTACTAAGCTAGTTAAGTATGCATTGGATGGCATCACTATTAAGTGGAAACAGAGCTGGCTCAAAAACTGAACTCAAAGAGTGCTTACCAATGGCTCCTTATCACATTGGAAAGAGGTATTGAGGTGCCACAAGAATCAATCCTGAGCATCTGGTCTTCAATATTTTTGTTAATGAGTTGGATGAAGAGGTGGAGAGAATCTTTATCAGATTTGCAAATGAGACAATCCTAGAAGACAGAAGTAGAATTCAAATTGAACTTAATAATTGGTGAAATGGACTGAAAATAACAGAATGAAATTTAATAGACAAGTATAAAGTTCCTTACTTAGGAAAGAAAAATCAAGTAATGGTACTTATGAAAAAGATATTGGAATAATTACTTAGGAAAGAAAAATCAAGTAATGGTACTTATGAAAAAGATATTGGAATAATAGTTGACTGCAAAGTGAATATTAGCCAGCAGTGTGATATAGGTGCAAGAGAGGCAAATTTTAGGCTGCATTGTGTATAATTTTCAACTAATGGGAAGTAATCATTCTCTTTCATTCAGCTTTGGTCAGACCCCATTTCAAATTATATATCCAGTTTGGGTACCACACTTCTAGGATTCAGAGAAATTGGAACAGGTTTAAAGAATACTCATGAGTATGATTAGCAGGTTAGAAACCTGAGTTCTATGAAGAAAGATGTAAGGTACTAGATATGTGTAGCTTTGAGAAGAGATGACTGGTCGGGAGACATGCTGACACTTAAAATATTTAAGAGATTATCACACCACAGAAGAGTGTGTAATCAATTAATTAATTTGGATTTCTGCACTGAGCATGGAGTAGGACTCAATGGCTTAAATGTTAATTTTTTTTGTTTTTTATAACAGCCTTCTGGGTAATGGCAAACCTAATGTGAATGTAATCTCCTTTGGTTTTTCCTTGAATCTCATATTAATTTATTTAAATTATAGATGTTGCCTGTTCCCATGTGTGACTCTAGGCTGCAAAAGATGTAAGAGGGCTTATTAATTTATATATTGATTGTGTTTATGCCCTGTCTTTCCCAGAAGCCCAAGTATTTGTTTGTAGTCAACCTGTTGGTAGATCTACATTTTCATGAATTTGTACAGTGATGCTTTGAGAAGCATACAAATAGGATATGTGGGCAATAGCTTTTCCTCACAGTTTCCCAGCAACAACTACTCGGAAGCTGATGCCTTTGGTTCTTGACTAGCATCCTGTCATCATAACTAGCTATCACTGATGAACACCCACAATGAATTTGTCTGATCTTTTTTAAAGTTCTCATAATCACATCTTGTGAGAGCTATTTTCATAGCTCATCTATATTATTAAGAAACAACATTATTATGTTGTTTCTTATAGGAATATACAGCATCAAAAGCAAAAGGTGTGACTTCTGTGTTTTTAGGCAGCAGTTCTGCATAGGAATTTCTTGTGAATAAACATATATGGAATCTGTTACTCTCTCAGTTGGCATTTTTATACAACTGTAATAATCTGATTTTTTTAAAAAAAGAAAGCTACTCGTGCAAAGCTTTTGAAATGACACAAGATAACCATGTTTGGCAGCTTCTTCCTTTGCATAGGACAAGGTGCTTTTATTCAGCTACATTATTTTTCAGGTGCTATATGCAGGACAATGTAGTTTCAACAGATGCAGACTTTGATGAAGAAAGAAAAGATTTGCTACAGCAGCTAGAGGAGGTAAAAAGAAAAAACTACTTACCCTTTAATAGGTCATGCTACTGAGTTTGGAAATAATGGATAATAAAATAAAGAATACCGGCCATGGTCCCCAGAAGTTGAAATTGTGTATGCCTGTTCCTTAAAATCCTATTATTGTCCTGATTAGCTATTTGGTGGGAAGAGGGCAGGGCAGTTCTGCTCCATCTTTTCAAGGAAATGAGCGTTATAGGAGCTTCTTTTATATGTAGCTACATGCACATAGCTCTAGTTACTGGCTGAAGCTTAGGGATTATGCTTAAGAGTGGGGTTTTCTTCTAACTCAGATGTGAGTATCAGTCCCACTATTGTATGCATATTTATTAACATTATCTTCTGACTTCATTCTAGAAATATAGGCATATAGCTGGATCATTGTCATGGTTTTTGCAACCAAAAAGAACTAAAAGAGTTTAGGAAAATCCATGGGGAGATAATACCCATGCTTTTGCTGCTAACATATGAATTGGCCCTAATTTCATTTGCCTGAGTGGAACTAAATTAATTTAAGAATAATAAATAAATATTTGGTGAAGTTAAACAGACCTTAAGTCCCCCTTGTTGTACCTGATTTCATTTTCTTACACTTAATTACAATAAATAAATACATAAATGTTGTCATTCAGAATGCCAAACCTAGACCTGCATATACCCCAAATGCATTTAAAAAAAAAATGGTTAAAGCAGCAGACCAGTGCTGTGTTTTGGAGTGGGCTTACCTGCCTCCCCAGAGAAATGGAAAGCACCCTGGAAGATTAGTGACAAAGGAGCAACCCAGTTTGCATTCTGTTTTTGTGATCGGGCTACCCATCATGACAACTATTTTGAAAGAGTCCCCATAACTTACTCTCAAATTCCAAATATGCTTACTTGCTCAAAATGGTTGAAAGCTTCTGCATTAGATGCTTTGCTATATTGGTTATATTTAATTTTGTACCTTTGTAATGAGGTTGTCTGTCAATAATGCCCTTTGAAGGAGCAAGAAAGTGGCTGCTTTCAGCCAAGAAAATTAACTGTACAATCAAATTAATTTTCTTCCATGAAAGTACAGTAGCCATTTTTCTTGCTCCTTTCAAAGGCATTAATCCATTTTCATTCACAGAATACAGCCAACATTAAATAAACCAAACAAGACAAGTTGGTACCATAAGCTGAATATTATGGCTTTATTTATTTAATAAAACAGAAAATATAAAACAAGAACTAAAAATGAAACAAGAAAAAATGCAGTAATAGTACTCCTTTGACCATGGATGAGATAAAAAATGTGATTTTGGTATGAGTAATGGTAAAGCACAGGATTGGGCAGCTTTCTAATAGAATGATTTAAAATATGTACTGATATCCTCACTTCTAAACTCTAACAACTATATAATGAGATATTTATTTTTAGTGGCATTACTACCATTGGCAATCAAAATATGTCATATAAAATGCCAGGGATTAAACTAATAATATGAGAACATAAATTGAAATTATTTGCTGACAGTGTCATACTTCCAATTATTCAACTTATTAGAATGAAACAAATTTTAAAGTTGAATTCTCATTTCAGCCAGATATATTTTTATTGAATTTTACTAAACCACATATCCCTTCAAAGTATACTGAATTACCTTGGTATATGTTAACTGTGACAAAGAAATGGTATGCTTTTTACTAGAAAGGCTGTTTGATTCTGCCCTTAGAAGGATGGCTAACCAAATTGTGGGAGTATTCCTTGATGTCCAGAATAACTCCGTAACTTAAAAATAAATCTGACATAGAATTCAGTTCTAACTGGAAACCATCCTGGATTATAGCTTAATACATGGATTTGTACGTCATCCGAAATTAGGGTTTTTCTATGTAAAGAGTCTATATTTTAACTTTGTGGGATGTTCCAGTTAGAATAGATTCTCAGTATTGATTCAGTTTATTATAGCTTATAATTTCAGTCAGTGATTTATACTGTGTTGACCATGATTCCTAATGTGTATTCTTAATTAAAAACTTAGTATTGTTTTTACTTTTTAAAAGTAATATAACCTATTTTATAAGTCATAAGTTTGACTGAAGTCTTCAGCATAAAACTGCACAAAGTAGTTAAAATAGGAAAATAGGTAATGTATATCTAACATATAAAAATGTATGCCACCCAGAATCATCATAGAAATTGGGCAGCCTTATAAATGTAAATAAATAACTAATATTATATTAGGAAACTAATCTCCTAATTAGATCCCTTATTTACTTATTTGTATTTTACGATTCGTATTTTACCATTCTGTTTTACTTGCCTTTTATCTGTTTGTACTCTTTCTGTAAAATCTCTAATAAAAAATGAACACTTTTTTAGTTGAAAGCCATGAAAAATATTTTTTCCAAAACAATTCCTAAATTTAAATGTCTATTTCTAAAATAAAATATTTCTAAAATATTTTCCCCATTACAGAATGAACTTCATGTGAATTCTGATATTTACCCATATTTGTGAAGTGTGGCTGTGATATTGAGTTAAAATTTCTTAGAACAATCAAATAAATATATTGGATGGATGGATGGATGGATGGATGGATGGATGGATGGATGGATGGATGGATGGATGGATGGTTGGAGCAAGCAAGTTTGATGTAGCTGAACTAGAAACTGGAGGCTGTGAGCTTCCTCCCTTAGCCATGGAAGCTGGCTGAGTTACTTTATGCCAGTCACTCTCTCTCAGCCCAACCTACTTCACAGGGTTGTGGTTGTGGGGAAATAGGAGGAGGGAGCTTTACTCCCTTTTAATCATTTATGTCACAACAGATGCAGGTACCATTGCAAAGAAGTATATTTAATTTACTCATGTTTAATTTTTTCATGCACAGAAGTGAATTAATTGACTAAAACTCAAGTGATTTATTGACTAAGATATCTTTCAGTTGGTAAGACCTGCTTTAATCATATTCTATAATCCTTTGGAAGTCATAGAAATGTCATAACATTTTTAGAACCGTTAAGCTTTTTGGTTAAATTAATCACTCTGGGATTTTTTGTAGGCTGACCAGAAACTGCAAGCACTTCAGGAAGCCTATCAGAAACTCAAAGATGAAAATGATCTTCTTAATACGCAATATCAAATGTTAACAAATGAAGAAAACCATTTTTGTGCTGAAAGAGACAGGCTTATAGCAGAGTATGTTAATTCTTCAACATATCTCTGGTTTCATGCTGCTTACAATTATAAACCAGTTATTAAGTGTTTTGAGGTAAACAACCCAAGTCTGAATCACATTGAAGTAGGATAAATCTCACCACAGTACAAGGAGATATTTTTTATTTAAAACCTGTATGTCTGAGGATGTCAAAAAACATTTTACCATAATTTATATGCCTGTCTTGTTCAAGGAAAAGCATTTTGTTCAAACTATCCAGGAGTACCCATTTTGATTCTATGCCTTATGTTGGGTGAGTCAGTAATTCAACCTAAGCAAACATCCCTGCTTACCTCTATTTTTACTCTAGTTTGGGGGTATGGTAGACGTTAGACTGTAAATTCCTTTAGGGCAAACATCTGCCATCTTATTCTTTGCCAAGAGCTGTGCATTTTGTTAGGAAGTGTATATCCTAAGTATAGTTAGCATACAACAGGTGGCAGCATCTTGCTCATCTTGGCTGATCCCAAAAAGCTAAGGGGAGTCAAACCTGGTTAGTAATTCATGGGATACCATCAAGAAATTCCAAGTCTGAGGCTAGATTGGGATGCCAAAGGAAGCCAATAGTAAACTACTTCCATATAGTTGTCAAGAAGATTATATGGATATGCTCATGTGGTCATCAGGAATCAAACTTGTCTGGGCAGTTTTTACCTTTACCTTTTAAATATATTTAACATGGAATAGATTCCCAGAAAGAATTGTGTTCTTTTCCATAAGCAAATTTTTCACAGTGTGCTGCTGGTTATTCCAAATTAATGTTTTCAAATTATTGAATATTGCTGATCTGACTATTAGTTAAGGATGGCCCTGAAGGCAGATTTGTTGTGTCACAGCAACAAGTGCCTACACCAGGAACTGGTGGTATTACCTGTAAATGGTTTATTCTAAGTCCCTCCTCCAGGGTATAATGTGTACTTGAAAACATCCTATGTGAATTGGGCAAAGGAGTCCTTCATTGAAATCTATGTTAGGGTATCTGAATAATATTCTAGATATAATAGGAAGTCATGTTTTTGAAATTCTGTAGTTTGTAGTCTTGTCATTTTGTCAGTAGTTAAGAGTTTGAAACATCTGAAAAAAACCTGGCTTTTACCTCTTCCTGATCGTATAAACAAATTAGCCTCTGTTCTGTCTCCCAGGTTTTAAAGATTTATACTGGATTGATTTCTTAGTTCTTTTCTTAATCTTAGTTTTTATGTGTATATTGGAAAGCCACCCCAGAAAAATATATCATCATAATCAACATAAAAATTAACATAAAAAATACAACCCATCAATGGTTGGCTAGCCATTTGTTTAATAACATGGTAAAGATGTAAAGAATTTGTGTTCAAATATTTAATTAAGTCCTCTTCCAAATAGATTTGAAAAGTTATCCAATATGCTCACAGAAAAGCTTGACTATATGTCAAAACGTGTAACAGAGACAAAAAATGTACAGGATGAGCTGGACCAAATGCAGGATATATACAAGTAGGTAATTTCATTTTATATGTATAAAATAACTTGCTGATGAGTGATTTTCTCTTTCTAGTTAAGTTTGTGAGAATCAGAAATGTAACAAGGAGAGGATTGATAGAACTAACAGAAAAGATTTGCAAACCAAGTTCTTATAAGACTTGATAAAAGTTCAGGCAAAAGTTTAAACCATAGTTTGGTGTTGTGGAAATGAGCTGAAATAAATCTTGGGTTTACAAGATTGGCTCTCTCAATCTTCCATGTGCTCCAGATAAATTATAAATTCTTGTTACATTTGAAATCAGGAAATAGCCATTTGATTTTTCATTATTTAAAATATTCTTCTAATTTGCTGGTTGGTTGTAAGGCTGAAAAATTTAAAACAACACTATATTACATCATGCATATTACATCATTATATATTGCTGCAGGAAGGGGTAAAATGAGATATCTATTTTTGGTAAGGGAGAGTGAATCTATCTACTCCATCCATCTATCTAAGGATCCTATCTCAGACATTTCATTGCTACCTGTTAATGGAGAGTTGCATTTACCATGAAAGATTTTAGTCAGACAGCTGACAAGTTAGGCAGACAGCTCTTCCTATGTATTAAAATGTTATGTTATATTATTCTAAATTAGGAGGTGAGCAACCCACTGCCTGTATGTCTCAAGCAGCTCTTCAACACCTTTCTTTGTGGCACCCAGGACTTAAACATTATTCCATTGGCCCTGCCTCCTCAGGAAGTGAAGGGTTAACTCTATGTCTTTGTTTGATGAAAAGAGCACCTTAAGTCCAGTTTTCTGTTTTCATGTATTTAAGAGGTAGAAAGAAGATCAAAAGTATCTGTTAAGCCCTGTAACTGGCAAACCAAAGACAGAAGAACCACACAGACTTCAGAAAGGCATCTAATACTAGTCAGGGATTAAAAACATAATTTTAAAAATTGTAAATTCCCAAACTTACAGTGAGCCAGTTTAGTTGGAATATTTTTGAAACCCTTCCTTCTCATAGCCCTCACCTCTGGGTGGGTTACTCTTCTCACATAAACTGAGTTTCTTCCCTGGCTCCTTCCCACAGTCTCTCAGGATCAAGGAGGACCTTCTTAACACACTCATTGATAAAAGAGGGGTTAAAGTACACACATGTTCAGTTCCCAACGTTTTATAATCTAAACCCTTTTTCTTTGCCATAAACCTGACAACAAGACTTTGTGAGAATCTAACTTTGTTTGTTAATGTTAGGGAGATTGATATGAACATTAGATCAGCTCTCACATAGTTTATCTTCCTTTTTCATAGACACACACACACACACACACACACATTCTCCTTAACTTCATCCCCAGTTCTCAAATTAAAAAAAAAAACAACTTTCTTTTTTCATGTTACAAACCCCTTCAGAAGTTGGGTTCCACAAATGGTTGTTCCTCTGCTCCAGAAGAATTATTCTAAATACTGAATAGATTAGTAGGTATTATGATTTCTGATGGTAGCACCCATTTAGTTATTCATTTTGCTTGAAGGTTTTTGAAGAAATTAGAAAAAATATACAACTGTCTTTAATAATTAAAGTAGCTTTATTGGCCATTTAAACATATAAAATATGTTTACATATTTTATGTAAAATATAAACATATAAATATAGTGCAAAACAAAAAAAATAATTCAGTCTTTTTCTGTTAGCTGCCAGATTTATTAGAACAAAACCCTGAAAAATTAAAGCACATTTTTCTTTGGATAATCATAATTAAAATTGTGAGGAATAGCAGTGGCTGAAATATTAGCATAGCACCATAGTCTTGGGGAATCCTTTAAGGATTTTTTAAAAATTCACATCTCCACTATACCAACAAAGCATTTTAGATCATCTATATAAAAGGAACTTTTCAGTAGTACTGTATATTGATTATGGATATTTAAAATTTTGTGTTAAAGTTCAGGTTTTTGCATAAGGTCACTTACCTCAAAAGGGAATAGTGTGATGGATATGCATATCGCTTCTTAAATGTATATATCTGTTTATATATGTTCCTAATTAATGCAGTTTTTTGGGAGGTTTGGCTTAGTTTGATTTCTGTTTATTCATTTATTAATTCTGTTTTTTAATTTTCAATGTTTCGTTGATCACACTGTGTTTAAGTAAAACTGAAAAAAATTATACTTTTTGTTTCAGCTGTACACATGATAACTATGCAAGAGAGATGGCAATTTTAGAGGTATCGTTAAAGAAAGAAAGTGATAAAAGGTATAATATTCTGTGAAAATAATTTGTTATGAAGTGACAAGCTAAATTGGTGTCAGTTGCTAGTTGTGCTGAAAAAAAAGCATACATTTGCAATACCCCAAATATCGCCAAATAAATGCTATTTATTTATTTATTTACTTACTTTATTTGTATGCTGTCCATTCCTGAAAGCTCTGGACAGCTAACAATCAGCAGCATCACTTAGCTGCCAAGGAGAACATGAAGTAAATTAAGCCTGCTTTGTTTTTAATTGTGCAAATATTTTTAAAATGCTTCTTCAAACTGAGTTCTTCCAAAACACTAATATCATGAGAAGCCCAGTTTACCCAAGACACAAATGTATCCGCTATATTTAAATAGAGTGCATTCTGGTGTCCTGAGCATGTCAGTACAAAGCCTATACATCCCAGTTGGCAGGATGTGGGCAAAAGGATATTGGCTTGCAAGGTAGTCCCTGAACTAGAGATCCTAGCTTGCCTACAGCAGCATGAGCCTGCCTGCGGTGAAACTGTGCTTTGATGGTATACTGTATGGGCAAAATGTGTCATCATCAGGGAATGCTGTATGTGACATGGTATGACGAAGGCTGGTGATATAGCCTCCATAAATGCATTATGTAAAAGTCTTGATTGACTGAAGCCATAATATGTGGTGGAGACCAATATCATGGACCTATCTGTTGACAACCATGGCATATGGAAAATTGTGACTTGGGGTGTTAGTGGAGTATAGTGTAAAAAGAATGAAATAAAATAGAAATAAAGTTGTTTGTTTGTAAAACTAAGAGAAAGGGGTAGGATGTATAGAACTGAATGAAGGTGGTCTGATCTTGTGGAATAGAGTTGATGAATGGAAGTGAAAGTGTAGATTTAATTATGAACATATAATTATTTTTATACAGTGTAACGCCACATAGTTTGTACAATGAAAACACTACACAGGATATATACTCTAAAAATAGAGAAATCCCCCCTCCCAAATGATGTAAAACCCCATACATGGGGGCATGGCATAATATAACATCTGAATCTCTCTGCTTTGAGAGCTTAAGGGAAGGTGGACTGTATGTACCATTCTGATAGCATTTCTAAGATACTCCTTCCTTCAACTGCAGAAGGAATAATGGAAAAGGTATGCCCATTATCAGCCTATTGTTACCATGATGTCACTGTCTCTTTTCATTTACTGTACATATTCAGTGATTGTGAATTATTAACACAAACTCAGTGATGCATTTTCTCCTTTACTACTAGAGAACAGTTTCAGATCCAACTTGGCAAAATTACAACCGTGTATCAGACTTTTCTGGGAGCCCATGAAGAATTTCTGAGCGAGTCAAAGCAAAAGATTGAAGCTGCAAAAAACTTATTTAACAAGTTAAGACAGGAGGTATAATACCTATTAGGGTACTAACACCAAATCCCATTGTAACATAGATTTTCTACAGATGTGGCACATTTTGGACCCATATCCTATATACACACATGAATTCATGGACATGGTAAGTGTCATTGCCACTATTTCAAATACTGCTAAAGAATTCATATTCAGAATGGAGTCTTATATCCTGCGTCAGCTCAGTGTTGCTCACTGAAAGGCATTAGGATCTGATGGAAGCCCCCAGCAACCTCCTCGGTCTGTGGAGAGGACCTTGTGCGTAAGGAGGTTGGAAAATCTCTGTGGATGAAAGGTTACTATCACACTAGTAGGTGTAACACATAGGAAGGGATTTCAGGAAAGGGTCAGAATTGATTCTGGATCCAGTGGAGAGTGGTGTAGTCAAAGGGCTTAATGTATGCCAATGAACAAAGAAAAACAGATACTGATATTAAAAAACAAATGACCTTTCTACTGTCAGAGTAAAGAGAGAGGTAAACAAGATTATAGATATATCCCCCTAGGCACTTTTTCAGTAATGCTAGTCCTCAGCATTTGGGGTGTTTGATTTCTCACATAAAATAACAAAACTAACTTGAATGGAAATTGTTTAGGGAACAAAGAAACAAAATTATCTTTCAGATGAGTCAGTGAAGAGTCCTACTTTCCCATGAATAGCCATATGAGAAGTGGGATCTATTTCCCTTCTGAAGCCAGAAGAAAATGGGTTGTCATCTAAATTTCTTCATTTCAAATTATGTGTCAGAATCCTGAATATGCCAGAACAAAAACTGAATGCCATGATGGCACAAAAAGGTATTTAACACAGATCAGCCCTTTCAAAAAGGGTGTATAGTTGATGGGGCATAGACTTCTCCCCAGCCTTCACCTCAGAATTTGTCATCCCTTATTAGCAATGTAGCTTTGGACATAGTTGTTTGTTGACTTTTCGTATGATCATTTTACAATTGTTACCACTTCAATTTTGTTTTCTGGGGCAGCTTCCTATAGTATGAAAAAGTCAGAATTTTGATTATGTGAATTTGCTTTTAAGATAATATGTCTAACACTTCAGTTGGTACATTCAAGCCAGAGCATATTCTCTCTCAACATTTGATCATTGAACTGAATACAGCAACACAGAACAGAACTCAAAGCAGAAAAATCCTTCTTATTAAATATTGATTGATTCTATAAATGCCAAACTGAACTGAAATCTCAACATCTGCACATTCATGTACACTTCTATATTAGTAGAACAGTATTATGTTGCTGCTTTCTCATATTTTCTACAAATAGAATGAATATTTCAGTAAACAAATAAAGAAGGCTAGTGAGAAAGTGAAACACCTCATTGCCAAGCTGCTTAAAAAAGAAGCCCACTATAAGAAACATGATGCTGACTTAACAGAAGAACTTGAAGAACTTGAGGCAAGACATTTGCATTTTAATACATTGTTGTAACTGTCTTTTATTATGTTATGAAAATAAATTTGGAGATTTAGCCAGCCTGTTTAGAATCAAAAGGAAATAGAAGCAGTTAAAAAAAAATCAGATTGATGAAGTGGGTGATGGGAAGTGGGAGAGTGTGCTTGTAAATCAGGTGTTTGCATTGGTTCCAAGCTACTGGAGTTGCTTAAGTTGTTTGCTATGGGCTGCTAGGATAAGAAGAGCCTTCAGTTCCCTGAAGCATGTTGATATGAGGCTTCCTTTGGATAGAAAGTTTTAAGGTAACAATGAAGCCATGCATTCCTTGGATACCTAGCTGACACTAAATGCAGAATGACTGGAGAGAGAACTGGGGAAAAAAGATAGAGCTACCAGAGTTAGGTAGAAGTAAAGTCAGAAACAAATTCTTGTTCTCTATTCCAATTACCAGCACATCTGTCAAGCATAATGACTCTCAGATTTGCAGGCAAGAAGGAATGGAATGGAGAGACAGTGGGGTCAATGACAAAGTCGTATTGCCGTTAAGATAGCAGGAGGAATTTGACTGGTCATGTAAGAGATTTTTATAGGGTGGGGAAGCTACAGGGCTTCTAGATAGAAGAGGTGGCTTGTTGGAGTTGTATCTAGGACATCTTCTGGAAGAAGATACAGCTATGTAATCTAGGTAATGGGTACATCTCTGCTTGAAATCATTGTTGAGAGTCCCAAGATTCTGAATCTAGCACTGTTCTGCAAGCTGGAATTCATCTCACAGTTGGATGATTGCATTACACTCTGCGTGGGGCTTCCCTTGAAGATGACTCAGAACTTGCAATGGCCCAGAATACAGTGGCAAGGCAGTGCTGGGCATACCTCAGTATGCCCATGTGATACTACTGGTCTGCAAGCTGCACTGGTTGCCAGTAGGCTTCCCGGTGCAATTCAAAGTGCTGGTTATGAGCTATACCATAAGTCCAGGTTATCTGAAGGACTGCCTATTTCCTATGGTCTCTTCCTGTCCAGTAAGATCAAAATTGTTTTTATTGTCTTGTTTTCATGTTTTAAATAATTTGTAAACTGCCCAGAGTTGCTGGGAGTTGGGCAGCAACAGAATTGGCATGCGTTGTGTTCCCTTGATCAAACAATGCCATCTATTGTAAGGAGGCATGCCTTCTCTGTTGGAGTGCCACCCTCAGAAACGATATCTTCAGCAATCTGTTTATCCCACCCTAATGATGTTCCACAAGTCTTCAAAAACTTGGTTGTTCTCCCAGGCCTTGGGGTAGGGTGTGTGTGGAGCCTTGGGTAGTTGGTTATTGTGTTGTTGTCCAGATGCTTAGGTTCTTTTTATTGTTTTCCTACTTTAAGCGTAAGCCACCCAAACTCAATCTGTTGCTAAGTGGCTTCTAAATCAATCAGTCAGTCAGATGATAGATAGATAGACAGACAGACAGACAGACAGACAGACAGACAGACAGATAGATAGATAGATAGATAATATTAATCAGTTGTGCTACTGCATTAGAATATTAGGAAGCCCATTACCACTTTATGTATAAATTGTCCATGTCTGTTTTCCCTCCTAAAAGGAAGAATACAATTCTAAAACAAACTCTATAGAAGAATTGGAAGAAAAACTACAAGAAAATATTCCCCTCTCAGAAGAACTACGAAAAGAATTAGCAGAAATAAGCACCAACTATGCAAAAAAAAAGGAAATATATAATGGTATATTATCCATGGATTGCAGCATCTCTTACCTATGTAACTCACCAACTCTTGATCTTATTTATTTGAGTGATGGAGTTCATGTTATGCCTGTCCCACGATCCATACATTGCCATCTCTTGACGATAAGCCTAAGATTTTGCATAGTGGACAAGTTTGTTTTAAGAGTTGTAATTTTCTTAATTTTATTTTTTATGGCATATTACTTTTACTGAATATTTTATTTTCTTTGTAGCGCAATCTAGACTCCATCAGGAAGAAAAGTCACATATAGATCCATGTCAGTCCTGGCTGGTCAGGGCTTCCCAGGAAGTGACCAACCACTTCTGCAAGATTCTGTTACTATAACCTAATAATAAAAGTAGTATTAGCTTGCATGACTTTGGTTTCCAAGTTTGGTCTATCTTGGAGGGTTGACATCAATCTTGCAAGTCTGAATGCACTTCCCTACTCCCTCTCTTTTTCTTTGTGAGAACTAGGGAGGGTCATGTCCCAAATATTTTCTCAAATTACATTTCTGTCCCAGACTCAAGATTTCTTCTATCTGACTGTGGTATTGGTTGCGGCTCTTTCTCCTGTTCCTCAAGGTTATTGTTTCTGCCCATTACATTATGGGACTGTCTTTCTCCTGTGGTTTCTGCCTGACTGATAAGATATGGTTGTTGTGGTCCAGGTCCCAACTTTAAAACGTCGTCATCTTGCAGGACCTAGGAGACTTGCCTTCTCAGTATGTGTGCCAGCCCTGTAGAACTGTCACCCCTGACATATGGCTCCAACCTTACTGAACTTTGGTAAAGCTGTTTCCTCAGGCCCTGGGAGAGGAGGAAGTGGCTTGTTCCCTGATAGTTGTCAAGTATGGAATGTGTTTGTGTTGTTATCCCCCCCGATGTTCATCATATATTCTGTGGAAGATTGCTGTGTGTTTTTGGAGATATTTTGTGATTGAGATGTCATACAAGTCAACAAATAAATATGTACCCAAACACTAAAGACATGTGTTTTCTGGGTGCCCCCTTCTAAAACAAGTTGGGTAGCTTCCAGAGAGAAGACTTTGGTTGTGTCTAATGCCTATTTCTTTTTATTTGGTGCCAAATGAAAATCTTTCCACCTTCCCTTTTAATAGATCTTATAACACATTTAGAGTTTGTGAAATTTGTGATAGTGCTAAATGAGGTAGCCACTAAATGAGGAGTGGCTGTATTGCCATGTTTTACTATATTTATTTTACATTTTACAGCAGGGTCTATATTTAGGTTAGATGGTGTGGGCATGGTGTTTTCTTGTTTAGTAGACTGCCCAATAATTTTCACTAGTAAGTAGCTCATAGGTATCTTAAATAATTTCCTGCTGGTCTTGTGGGTCATTTCCTGGCCCTTCTAATAAGTTGTGCTACTGTAGCTTATATTAATTTAACTTTTTCTCCTCTCTTTGTTTACAGAATTACGAGAAGAAGAATGCACACTTAAAATGGGCATAGAGCATTCATTAAAGGAAATTAAGAGACTTGAAAGGCAAAAGGTAAGCAGATAGGCATAATATTCTTACAGTATGTCACTTTCTGTTTGTGTGTGAGCAGTCTTTTGGTGGCTGAGAGCTCCACTTACACCTTTTTTTCTGTTTTTAAAATATTTTTCCTAAAGATTTTGACAGTAGTAAATGATAATACAACTTGAAATCAAAAAGAAAGAAAAATGAAAATGGAGAAAGAAAAAAGAGAAAAGAGAGAGAAAATGACTAAAATAGTTATTTTATAACTGTTTAAAAGACTATTTAAACAAGTGACATCCAATCTTCTGTACAAGTACAAACTTAATATTTCTCTACCCCCTTTGATATTACAGTGGGGCAAAAAAGTATTTAGTCAGCCACCAATTGTGCAAGTTCTCCCACTTAAAAAGATGAGAGAGGCCTGTAATTTTCATCATAGGTATACCTCAACTATGAGAGACA